ATGTTTCAAACAAATGTGGCTTGGAAGAAGTTGAGGAAAGGAAAAATAGGCTTATAAAAATGAAGTGAGCAATACCAGAGTTGAACTATAAGGCTAGCCATTAAGAAGAGGGTTCTAAAAACTTCTATACAAGACATACTATTGAGAAACCTAAGTTTCCCTGAGAGGTATGAAATACTTGAATAAAACAGGCAAATTATATGGGGAAAATTGATGATGTAGGGATAATATCAATTCTTCCCAAATTATTTTATTGATATAACACAATTCCAGTTATAACTTAGAACATACAAAAAGGGTATTTTGTAAAAAAAAGAGATTACAAAACTAAGTGTATAATTTAACCCTTCCTTTGGAAGATTATATATATTTATATGTATATAATTTCATACATAGAAGTAATATAGCCAATTATCAGAGGTGATTTTCCCTTAATGGGAAGCTCATTGTTGATTTATTTTGTATCATATAGTACATTTAAAATTAGTTAACTCAGGAAGTTCTTGTGACAAATATTTCAAAAATTTATATGGAACTGTAAATGACCCCAAATAGCCATGGCAATTTTGAAAAAGAAAAACATAGCAGGGGGGATCACAATACCTGATATAAAACTATACTAAAAGGCCAATATAATCAAAATAGTATGGTACTAGCATAAGAACAGACACATAGATCAAGGGAACACAATAGAGAGCCCAGAAATAAGCCCAAACCTTTATAACTGGCAGAGGAAGCAAGCACATACAATGGGCTAAAGATACTTTACTTAACCAGTGGTGCTTATTGGATAATACCAATACTCCATTAGTGTTTAATGGTGTTGTATGGCCCAAGATGACTCTTCTTCTTCCAGTGTGTCCCAGAGATGCCAAAAGTTTGGGAGGCAGAGCAGAGCACTGCCTAAGCTCTCTTCTGTTACTTCCTTTACCCTAAGTCTTTCCTTTGTCTTACTGTCCCCACCCTTAATAAATGGACTCTCAAAAATCATCTGGACATGAAGTCAAGAACCAAAACATACAGGGGAGCCTGAGGCAGACCCACTCCAGGCCCATCCCTGTCTGGTAAAAATACCAGCTCTGAATTTTTACAAGAAATACAGCTATAGATTATTTCCATCCTTTCTGTAAGAAACAGGGTCATTTATTTGGAGTGAGGAGAAATAAGATATCTTGACTCAGAAGAGAAAATATAACAAATCATATTAAAGAAATTCTAAGATTATTCTAGGAAGTACCCTGCAGTAGAGGATAGTATATTAGTAGAAAAGCATATGAGTTATTTTTTTCTTCTCTGGTTATCATACTATATGGCTAAAGAGAGGACATCAACCTTAAGAACATTAATCTTCTGAGCAATCAATTCTGCACATTTTATTACAGCTATTTCACTTAGAAAGAAGTTAGTTCTCAGAATAAAAGAAAAAATGTTCACAGGAGACACATTAGAAAAATATCAAAAAGCCAGACAAATGAAAGAAGAATTCACTCTGTACTTAGAGGAATAAAAGTTGCACATTCTTTTCTGAGCTTTGTGACAGTTTAAAGTCAGTATGTGATTGTTACCAATGACAGAAGGCAAGATTGTTTTCCTCTGGTGATTTTGGTAATGTGTTATCTGACATGAAAGAGACTTTTTTCCCTTTTATTTGTATTTACCTTCTTAGATACTGTTTTCGTGTTTAGTTATTTGAGGTATTTTAAGCAAAGTGATTTGAAAAGGATTACTGCTCACCATTTTCTTTCTTCTGCCTACTTCTTGGAGTTCTCTAAGACAAAACAGCCGTGCGCCATTCATGTGTGGATGATACTTAGCCCAACTAATTTTTTACTTTGCTTTATCAGGAACATTATTTCCCAATAGTACTGTTGCTTTATCATTACATTGCACTAGTTGATCTCCCAAGAAACCCTGCTGGGCCATACATGCCCTAGATGAGGTAAAGAGAGACCACCGCACGCTTCCGTGGAGGTTATTGGAAAGAAAGTAAATCAGTAGCAAAGACACGTAGATAGATGTGTTGGGGAAATCTGCCCCCTTTCCACTGCCACAGCTCCATTTTTTCCTTCATGTTCCTTTTAATTCACAAACATTTAAGGCTTTTCTTTCCTCACCCATCCAGAGAAAAACTGGACTGAATTATTCAAAAGATAAATTGTCCTCACACATGAATATTGAAATAAAATTGGATCACTTTCTAAATTTCATTTTGCTTGAATAGCCTTAGGGTAACAATGAAAATTTAAAATATGGTTTTGGCTTGACCTTTGCTTTTTTATTCCGGATGGTCACTGTGGAAGGTTTTAAATATGATCGTATTAACTGAGCCTCTTCAAAGGTCAGCTTGTCTATTTGTCTGAACAGATTTGTTATTTTAAGAGACGGTCATGTTTTCTTCTGGGGGTCACCCATGCACATGGTTAAATAGTATGCATTGTTCCATAATCATGAGTTTATAGTTTCATTTAAAATGTGAAACACTAGTTAGAAATTTCAAGATGCATTTCCTGCATTCCTCAATATTATAAGGAAAGAGCCTCAGCAATGAGGAAATGGTGGCTTTCTTGGGAAACACAGGGAAGTGCTCAAAGGATGCGTGGGGACAACCCTAAGGGGGCTTTGCCCACTTCTCAATTTTTTTCTAGGAATATTTCTCCCCACCTTAACACTGCTTCTTCATATACACTTACAGGTATCATGTGTACCGTGATGCACACAATAACGAATTGCCAACACAAAGCTCAACTGGAAAATTAACTCTGTATTAAAGAAAACAGGACTGCCAGTGCTGCTGGGGAGAAACAAGTTGACTTTAAAATAGTTGGTCTGTGACTATTGACCAGAAATATTCATCCACTGTTCCCGTGAGCATGAAGCTGTGGTAAGTTAAATATTGGGTAGGGGAAGAAGAGGGAAGAACATATTTAGCATGGTTTTCTGAAGAATTTCCATAAAAAAAGGAACCTCAAATAATTCTGCATTTTAACCAAAGGAAACAAAATGATATAAGCACAATAATACTATCTTAACTTGAGAATGTGGAAGTTTTAGTTTTATGTATTTAAATATTCCACTTAGGAAACACTCATGGACACTGCTGTTTTAACACTGAGACCTAGGAGTTAGAGATATACAGGTGGTCCCTGCCCTCAAGGAACTTAAAGGAGGCAATGCTGGTCGAAGTGCACTGCAGGGCTGTGAGTTTTAGGTCCATGAGTTCACCATGCATCCGTCAGGTTGGTATCACTGTGCTGGGAACCCTGGTGCACATCTTCTGTTGTAAAAGTGTAGTTACCTCATCATTCTAAACCTATCTTACTCAATTCCTGACATGGCAAGGCTAAAATAAAAAAGAATGGTAATCTTATACTGTTTCAAAGCACTTTCTGTGGCTGCCAAAGGGGCCAAGCTGCATAGTTACGACTGATTTCCAAGTGACTTTATAGCATGTCCTTCTTGAGTTCAAGTGTATTCTGGGTCACTGGAAGGGAAACAAAGCTTGTCAAAATAATTTTTAACATATCTATCAATATTTCATTTTAATTCACTTTAGGTGAAGTAAATTCTACCCCATTTTTAGGCAGCTATCAATTCATGGTGTGCAAAAGTATATATAATGAAAAATAAACAATAATGTAATGTTAAACTAAAAATGAAATAATTTCTTGCATGCCATTCTCAAATTTTATGTGAGGTGTTCTGTGATTAGAAAATAGAGCTCAGGGAAAGTAATCTGAGCTTTCTAACTTACACTAGAACAATATAAATGTTTGGTGCAACTTTTATTTAAATCCATTATATTTTCATGCTCCATATTTGTATTATACCTTATTAATATTTATAAGATTGTTCAGTGTGAGTGAATCTATAGTAAACCGCCATTCTGAAGAATAGTGCTGTTAATCAGTTCAGGAAAGGTCATGCTTTGTTTGCTTGTTCTATAAATCATGCACACATTTCTTCTAAGTGGCTTAAAGATTTGCAGAGTCTCAATTCCACGAAGCAAAGTCACTACACATTTGTGAATGACAATTTTCAACAGCTATAATGAAAGAAGTGACATGGTTCACATTCCACATAAACACAACTATTACTATCTTCAAGGACAAAAATCCGCCCGTGAAAATGAAAACCAAAATGACTAGAAACAGAGGCACATACTAAGTTAGTCATTGATTGATTTGGGGGGGGGAGGGTCCCAGGAAAATGCTGACATTGATTTATCTTTTAATCTAACAGAATAACAACAAATCTTAAAGCAATCAGTTTTAATGGTCTTAATAACTCCAATCAAATTATTCACCTTCCACATTAATATAGGAGGTTGGCTTCATATTTATTCATCAGATTTGTCAAATAAATATCACCACTTGCCAAACTACACCCTAGCCCTTTAGTTCTAATGGATTCTATTAGCATTCCACTGTTATTTGCCCTCCCCTCATAATTAAGGTGACCACAGGTCCCAGTCTTCCAGGCAGGGTCACAGTCCTGGTTTAAACTTTCTGCACTGGCATAATTTCTAGGAGAGTCTCTCTAGTTTCTGAAGTGCCCTGGTTTGAAAGAACAGGCTGGTGGCCAGCATATTCATAACTCTCCCTTTATTATTCCCTGCATCTTTAGAATCTATTAAAGCTAAAAGTATTCTTTGAGATCTGTAAACAAATATATGTAAAGAGCACAACTTAACAAATCTATATGATATTTCCTCACCTACCCAGAGACAGATGTTTTCCTCAGCTACATCACATCTGAACCCTAAATAGTAGAAGCTTAGCCAGATAAAACTTCGCTGAGAGGCTGCTCTATAAGCTTTTCTTTCAGGAACTCCACTGAGGGAGGTAGTTTCGGTTTTTTCCCTGAGAATAACAGAAACTAAAATGGTCCTTAGGAGTGAATTTAACAAGGAAAGCTACACGATTTTGTTTATTTGATCTGAACTAGCCTAACATAGACGACTGTTGATTACATTTTGCAATGGTTTTATGTTCTGTACCTACCAGAGTCATATTAGGGATGAAAATGGTGAGCACACAGGAATTTCCAGGACACTGTTGGAGTCACACAATCTTTCACCTTTAAAGTGGTGGTTCTGCAAAGAACTGTGCCTCAGGGTCACTTAGAGCTCTCCTCGAGATGGTGACGGGTCGTGAAGCCGGACGGAAGGACAGGAGGTTGTGCCCAATGGGTACAAAGTGAGGTTGGTACTGAAAAAGAGAAACCAATATCCCAGCAAAACAACCTCAACAGAGTTCCCAACCTAATAGATTTCTCATTTAGCAAGACTAAATTTGATCCTGTGCAACATTTACTTGCTTTATTTAGATCCGGATTAAAATGGAACACCTAAAAAGGCTACATAGGATAAAGAGACTGGGATGCCTTCAAAGGATGAACATTTCCCAGTGGATATAAATAGATTGCTGTTTTGATTCGTTTAAAAGGTCATTAGTCAAATGTTCTGTTTCTTTTTTTTCTCACTCTCATTTCTCTCCATTTCTTTATCAAGCACAGAGTCATACATTAGAAAAAGAAATTAAATCAACAAGCCAACCCATCCCTGGCTCTAACAACAAAACACAAATTGAGAATTAAATTAAAAAAAAAGAATTAAATGTTTAGAGGTTTTAAAATGTAAGTTCCTTATGCAGTTTTGATAAAGCAAGTTATTTTTTAATTTATTTAAATGAACTTGAAATAATTCCAAAATTAAGAAATGATGCATTTGAAGCCCTCTTTCACTATTAAAAATGAGAAATTATGTTGGCAACTTTTGCCCTCTAAGATCATAACCAGATAAAGCCTTTAACTTGGTGTGTTCTGCTCCTCTGCTTAAATTTCATATAAAGGATCTAACAAATCACTAGCACTGGTGATCATCAGGTTTTATCAGGTTTACAGAGCCAGTCTTGAGGTGCTAATAGGTCCTTTGGGGCAAGTCAATCTTCAGTTAAATAAATATATCATCAGGCTTGGAGTAGAATATTTACTATGAACATAATGCAAAATGGATAATCTCAAGTGTAGTCTAAAATATTGTTCAAGTCAATGCTATAAAAATTATCTGAGCAGTATGTCAGGCAGGATGAGTAATGCCAGAAAAGGAAAAGATATAGTCTTCAACCTTGAGTTATTTATATTTAACTGAAAGATACACATGCATAAAACAACTGAGAATGACTCCAAGCATACCATGCTATGCTAATATTTGATAAGAAGCTTCTATTGTGCATGGCCTATGTCTTAAATAAAGAGCATTTAATATTTGACATATGTTTATTAAATACTGATTAGCAAACATCATATTGGGCACTAGGATTCTGCCAGCAGCAAAGTTACAACCCTTATTGATGAATTTACATAATCTTAGGGGGGATGAGTAATGAGTCAAAAGGAGTCTTCCCCATGGTGGCGACACACACACTGAGGACCAGCATAAGGAAGGGGGAGTCGAGATAATGGAAGGGTGTCACTGCAGGGCAACTGATTTCCCGGAAGTGAAACAGAGCATTGATAGTGTCACAGAGAATTTGCCACATCTTAAAAACAGGATAGAAAGGGCATGATACTCCTTTGCTTCCACTGCAGCCCAGAATGGAGATTTTGGACATAAGTAGGCCCTCAAAGAGAATTAGTTTTCATTAAATTGTGAGACTTTCTATTTTTAAAAAGTACCCTCTAAGTTATATGGAAACTTTATTTTTAATTTTTCCTAGATCTTTTAATTTTTTTTAACTTTTTAAATTATAGTTTATATAAAATGTTACTTTGTATTTGTTTCAGGTGTACAGCATAGAACACAGGCACTTTAAGTCAGCATTTGCTCTTCTATCTCCAGGGTGACATTCCCCAAATCCCCCTATTGTTGCTTGCCCCACTCAGAAGCTACTGTTTCCTCTGACCCCAGTGCAAACCACACATTGCTTTCTCAATGTCCTTAAAGAATTGTCAAATGTGGCAGGTTAAACCTGGGCCCTACATCTATTACTCCAAATTTGGTCCTTCCTTCATCCCATATACTAGTGAGGGCAACCTGTATTCACCCTGAATCCAAGCTGAGAACCAGATAATCTCCCCAGGCTCCTCCCTCTCTTTTATCTTGCCACATTATTGGATCATCAAATCACCTCAGTTCTGCCTCCTAAATATCTCTAATTAGGTCTCTTTTTTTCCAGTTCCATTGCCATTGATTCACCCCCAGTATCTGTGATCATCTCCTAAAGTTTAATATTTGTTTTTTAACTTCCAAACTGCCCCACCAGAATGACCTTTCTAAAATGTGGAGTTGATCAAGTTTTCCACTTGGTGAAACGATCCAGTGTCTGTGCCAGGTCTAGAGGATGCTGTGCAGCCTCCAGCAGCTGGATGCCCAGGCCAGCAGAACGCTGTGGACTTGCACACTGAGGTCCTTTGCTTAGAATCTCCCCCTAATGGAATAGATCTCTTTGAATGCTTCTATCATAACACTGATCACACCCTGTTGATCGATAACTTAAAGATTTAAACATGCATTATGTTATAAGGCAAAAGTATATGAGAAAGAAAAAATGCAACTCTCACAAACCTACCCACCAAACCACATGAACTTCAAATTTTTGCTATGTTTTGCATTAGTCTGCGTTCTCCAGAGAGGTTTCTGCTGGCCTCTGCTTAATGGCAAGTTGTGTCCCCAACCTAATACCATGTTAATTTAATATCACAGCTTGAGGTTTCCCGAAATGGTTAGTGTAAATTTGAAAACCAGACTTATATGAGAACAGGTTAATGACTATAAATTGCCTGTAAAGAGTATTATTAATTACATTTTCCCCTGTAGCCACCTAGGAAATGACAAATATCCTGGGGTGGAATCTATTCTGTGGCTGGCAATTTTCATTTTCCCTGGCCCCTCCTTTCACTGTGGAATAGCCCCATTGAGGATCCAGGCCAGCTTGAGGATTCTCAGGAATGGCTTCCTGACTTTGCAGGGGCTGCAAAGCTTGGCCTCCAGTTCTTCACTGTTTACAAGTCATCTATAGTCATGGTTCTATTTTCATCCCCCTCTTCATGCATTTATTTGCATGCTTACAATTTTGTGGGTCTATATTGACTACCCATACATTGTTTCAAGCTCAGCAATGAAAAAATATTGTCTAGCTTATATTTATATTGTAGTAGGAGGACATTTGTAGAAAAATGAGCTTGCTATGCCATCAAGAGTTAATCAGGTCTCCTGATTTAAGGTGTTAAAGTGGGAAAAGTATGTGTTGTTTTGTACTTTACTTGTACTTCTAGTAGTGCAGGACATAAGGCCAAATCAAAATGAGCAGAAATACACAGGAAAAGAATTGAATGTATCGTGTTTTAAAATTCATTTTACAAAAATTTTAACAGTTTTATTGAGGTATTACAATTGACCCATAAAGCTGTACTTATTTAAGTCTTGACGTACACATCTATGTATGTGTACACATTTAAGTAGGTACACATTCATGAAACTATAACCACGGTCTTGATAATAAACATGTTCCTCACCCCTTAATGTTTCTTAATGCCCTTTGTAATTCTTGCTTCCCCGCTGCTGCCTAGTCACTCCTAGGCAACCACTGCTCTATTTTCTGTCCTTATAGATCAATTATATATAAGTCGAGTCATCCAGTATGTAAGCTTTTTGTGTAGCTTCATTCACTTAATTATTTTGAGTTTCCTCAACATTTTCATTTTCATTTCATTTTCACCACGACTGTAAAATAATTCTCATTATATTACTTATAACTTTTGTAATGGGGCCTTTTAACTTATAACGATTGCAATAGATGTGCGATTGTGTATCTTTGGAGCTTTAGTTTCCACAGCCCAATAATAAATGATGCTGAGCACTTCACTGTATGCACTTGCCATCTCCATGTCTTCTGCAGTCAGCTGTTCAAATTTCTCACTCATTTATTACTAAGTGGTTTGTTTTCTTATTACTGAATTTGGGAAGTTCCTTGGCATATGCTAATGTAAGTCATTTATCAGACTCATGATTTGTAAATATTTTCTCACAGCTTGTGGTTTCTCTCTATTCTTTTTTTAAATTAACTTATTTATTTTTTAAATTATTTTTCAACTACAGTATTCTTTCTTTTACTCCCTTCCCAGCCCACCCCCCATGCCCTCCACCTCCCTCCCCTTTCCACCCTCCTTAGTTGTTGTCCATGTGTCCTTTATACTAGTTCCTGTAAATCCTTCCCCTTTCCCCCCTGAAATTCCCTCCCCTCTCCCCTCCAGTCGCTGTCCCCCTGTTCTCGATTTCAGTGTTGTTGTTTTTATTTTGCTTGCTTGTTTGTTTTGTTGTTTAGCTTCCTGTTAAAGGTGAGATCATATGATCATCACTCAGCATAATGCTTTCCAGTTCCATCCAAGCTGTTGCAAAGGGTAGGAGCTCCTTCTTTCTCTCTGCTGCATAGAATTCCATTGTGTATATGTACCACAATTTTTTGATCCATTCATTTACTGACGGGCACCTAGGTTGCTTCCAGCTCTTGGCTATTGTAAATTGTGCTGCTATAAACATTGGGGTGCATAGGTTCTTTTGGATTGGTGTTTTAGGGTTCTTAGGATATAGTCCCAGCAATGGAATTGCTGGGTCATAAGGCAGGTCCATTTTTAGTTTTCTTAGAAAATTCCATACTGTTTTCCATAATGCATTCTCTATTCTTTTAACAGTGTCTTTCCAGTCTGCATTCTCTATTCTTTTAACAGTGTCTTTCCAAAAGCAGGAGTTTCTTTTATTTTATTTTAATGGTCAGGTTCAGCAATTTGTTCTTTGATAAAATTATATTTGTGAGACCATACCTAAGAAAGCTTTACCTAACCTAAGATCATTACTTCTAGGAAGTTTTATGATTTTAAGTTTTACATTTAGGTTCAGGATTACTTTAAATCATTGTAGATGTTCAAATAAAATGAAGTTCATTTTTAATGCATATAGACATACAGTTCTTCAAGCATCATTTGTTGAAAAACAATAGGTGAACCTATCTATGGTGATGCAAAATTTTTATGTGTTAATTAAAGAGAACATACTCTGCTATACTTCACATCACAAAAACTTTTGTTAGAGGATGTCTCCTCCATTAAATAAGATGTATAATAAACACCTAAAAATTGTCAAGAAAAACTGTGTTCCTAACACAGAGAAGTCTATGTTAGAGGAATTTGCAAAAACATTGTCTGTAATCAGACAATGTTACATTTGGCTGTTTCCTTCTAAGTTCA